TGCAATCTAAACTTTTTCGTGTAAATTTTTAATGAGTAAGTAAACTGACGCGAGATTCCTGCAAGTTTTCAGCAACGTCTCGAGCTCGTCGTTCGTCGATGTGCTGTTGTTCATGCCACTGAAAAGTCTCGAGTTTAATTTAAAGTGAATTCTGATCGTTGGCTGTGTACTCGGTTCATTTTTTTATGAATCACTTTTTTTATCTAAGCAAAACTGTCGGAAGCATAGGTTTAATCGGCATACACTATTTGATCTCGACATTTGCGAAAATCGTCAAGAAACAGCCAAATGACGACGATCACGACGAGAACAGCGGTAAAAAGTGAGACGCGAAGAAAGGACTCTTTCCGAGAGATTCCCCTCTCCTTCTCTTGCTCCCCCTCATCCACAACTTGGCGATACAATTTCTCGACATCGATTTCTGACTTCTCAACTTGACGGTACATCGACTTTTGTGTCCTTTACTAAAACATTCAACTTTATTTGCAGTTAGACATATGTAATAAAACAAAAAGTCCTGAAAAACTTAAAGCGACAAGAAATTCGGAACGCACCTTAATAATATTGAAATTTTTGAGTTGAATTTAGCTAAGAGAAAGCGATAATATTATTCACGAGTAATACTTTGTTCACGTTTGGCTTTTTTGAGTCAGAAATTTTATTTCGTAAAATAAAAAAGTCATACTGATACGGATCAGCCTTGGGTGCCCCGGAAAAAGTTTGATAAGAGAAGTTGTTTTCAAAAGTATCGAAAATTGTGTTGCAAGAGAATTGTGTTGTTTCCCCGTTGCAAAAATAGTTTTTGAATTTGAAAGCGCTTTTTTAAATTTCCTTGCTTCATTTTTATCCTTATCTTCAAACTAGAATGCAGCAAACATTTGCGCAAAGTTCCTCTTTTGTGTTCACTCTTTCTGCCAATGTTGAATGTTCATATTTGAAGGAAAGCTTGTGCTTTGGGTTAAAAGTTTGATTGAATTCATAGTCCACAGTCGAACTGAATGATCCGAGCACGCGAATAGCGTTAAACTGATAGTCAATCACTTTCTGATGGTTGGGTTTAGTAGGGTATACGCAGCTTATTTACTTGATCAACGCAGATTATCAGGATTGTATTATTTCACAGTTTTTTTCCATACTTTGTGTGCTACTTACAAAGTTATTTTCTTTTCGAAAAGATCAAGTTTTATTTCATAAAATGCAAAATAAAGCACGAATATGTCTTTGAGCTAATGTGTCTAAAGCGCGTAATCGAGTCGTTTTTTGACTGACCGAGTTCACATCACCGAACGAAAAAACCAGAAACAAGACATTTGTGCAGTGTGTGAGAGAGTACCGCTGGGGGCAATGATTATTAGATATTTATTCCGAATCTAACACAATACTAATCTAGCGAGAAAATACAATAAAATAGAATCTATAGTTGGTTCAGTGTTTCATAGCAATACGAAAAACAATATGAAGAGACAATACAAAGTGGGCTCCGTCCTTTTATCATAAAAGCGATCTTTTAGAGGCGGGACAAAGATCAGACATTCAAATCAAAACATTAAATAAGATTCTACAGAAAAGAGCCACTTTTCTGCACAACATTTCTTAAGATTTGAACGATCTTTTATAGAAAAATATCAGGCTTTTCTAATAGAGAAAACTGTAGGTCAATAGGTGAATTAGTTTCTAAATAGCTTTGTCAAATGAAATTTCCAAAGACTTATCGGCTAACCTAACCGCTATTTTAGGTAATCGCAACGATTCTAATCTTTTTGATGCTCCTCTTCACATCTCGCTGTTTTCTTTTCCGATACGCACAGATTATCCCCGATCATCATCCACTCAGCAATAGGAACCAATTTCGATGTCAATAGAAAGAAGAGAGAGCACAAAAATTTAGATTTATAGCCAAATTTTCAGAACAATCTGTTTAGCTAATTTCTTTATATTTCTTTTTATCGAATTTTACGCAAAACAAGTTTTTTTGCTCGGGTTTTAGGGCCCAGATTTGTCTAAAATGATAGGAAACGTCGATAATAAACATCTTCTAATTTGAAGTAAACCGTAGATCAATTCTCGAACTTTTCATTTATAAACAGATTTATGCAAAAGTGATCAAAGACTTATCGGCCAACCTAATACTTATTAAATTAGAAGGAAGGAGTAAGGAAATAATTGGGATGTGCTTATTAGCTCATCGATATCGTTCAGCGACAAATTTCTACTGAAATCCTTTCTTCCTTACGATTGGAAGAGAAGCTTAAGAATGATAATATGAACTCGAATGAGAATAAAATCGAACTATGACAATCCAGCTCATCTTAAAACAAAAGCACATGTTTCTGTACACCTTCCTTATAATATAAATGATTCTTTTTTCAGGCCAGCCTTTTTGGGGCAAGATTTTTCGGGAAAGAAAATAAATGCGAATCCCCCACAAAGCAAATTTTTCCGGTACTTCGGGGCTAGTGATCGGAAAACAGTGAGCATTTTCATCGCTGTCACTGGAAGAAATGGCACAAAGCCGAGCAATATGAAAGAATAGCTCGTGGCTCATCGAGGATACCTAAAGAATGATGAAAAGATGACAGAAATGAATGACGATCTCTTGAGGAAACCATTCATTGTTTATTTCATTCATATAGATACCTGATAGCTTAAAATATACGGTATATGGGTGTGCATATCCTTCGGACTAGCCTTCAGAATCACGTAAACAACAAAGAGATTCCAGGTAGAGACTTATGCTTCCGAAATACGAAGAAAACAGATATAAATATACGGATATTGATAGGATATGTAAGAATTTGTAAATATTCTTTTTGCAGTCTTAAATGCTAAAATTTTCGCTTTCAGGCGAATGAGAGGCGATTACAGTGAAAGAAAGAAATTTTCGGTCTTTTGATCAAAACGAATTGTGACCGTTAATCAGTTTACAAACTTTCAGTGACGCGGTTTCTCAAAGAGGACCAAAGCAGCTTTTGGATCCAATATCACAAAATATTGATTCTTGTCAACGAATTGATTGGTCAAATTGATTGAATATTTGAATACCTTCAGCTCTTTGCTTCCAAAAGCAGGGCTAGTAATCTCCACCAAGTTTTCCATAAAACTGTTAGGGTAACGGGTTCTTCCGGAAAAGGAATTCGCCTTCTACCAGTAAAATGTTTATTGAAAAAAAGACGGAAACTATTTGATGGATTTAGATGGCTTTCTGCACCCCAGGTCAAGCCAGCTCGGTTATCTCTCTATAACGGAATGGAAGGGACCAAATGATTTTTCCGTTATGTAAGAAGCTTTCCGTTATATAGAGCTTCCCCGTTATGTAAAGCTCTCCGTTAAGTATAGAGCTCCGTTGTGTAAAGCTTTCCGTTATATAGAGCTTCCCGTTATGTAGAAACTTTCCGTTATATAGAGCTTTCCGTTACAGTAAAAAAGCTTTCCGTTATACAGAGCTTTCCGTCATATAGAACTTTCCGTTATGTAGAGTTTTCCGTTATGTAAAAAGCTTTCCGTTATACTTAGAGCTTTCCGTTATATGATACGTTTGCGTTTTATATAGGTTAGCGTCGGCCGGGACCAAAATTCCATTCCGTTATATAGAGTTCTCCTCTTGCAGGAGTTCCGTTATAAAGAGAGTCAACTGTATTCTGTTTGAAATTGACTCATTACAACCCAATGCAACTGAGCCCTCTCTTCAAAATTTCCACGGTGAACCAAAAACACAAATCAAATTCTCTCAAGCGGCCCCGTTCGTAGAAAGCAATTTTCATTTCGAGAGCTAAAATTAATATGACAAGCTTCTCTTAATTGGCTATGTCACTTTGAAGAAACTTTTGACAACTTTGACTTTGAAAAAATTCCTTTTAAAAATAAAAAAAGACTGACGTCAAAATCCTGAAAGCGCTAATGATATGGTGCATTTGAAATCATTTTTCATTGTCAATGAATTTATTGTAATTGTTTCTCTAAACGATTTGTGCTTGGTCAAGACGTCTCGACTCGACATCAGCATCGATTGGAGCCCATTTAAACTAAAAAGGCATCACTTAATCTTATTTAGGAATAAACAAATAAAAAGATCAATTGGATAAATAATTGAAGGAAATAGTTTAACCCACCTTAACATACCCATCCTCTCCCCATGTGGTTCCCCACGAGTTCTTGATTATCCACTAGTCGACTCCATCCCTCGCTTCCTAAATAGAATCTTCTGAATTTAAATATTATAAAAATAGAACTTTCTCCCCACTGTTTATATCCACTTTTCTTGTCAAATCTACATACAAAGTTCTAGAAATACGCAAAGCAAAATGGAATAGTGCTGTTTCTTTTGTGTTTTAACTGTTATTGATTACCTTTTCTTTGAAACAACTTTGAACTCTGTTAAGCAAAGTACGTTAAATCAATTTTTTTTTCAAACTATTACCTTGTAATCTTTATATTTTGTTGTTATAAAGGCCCTCTATAACGATTTAGTTAAGAAAATCAGTTTTATTTAGTTCTACAGTACTGGACAATGAAATATCATATTAAAGAAACGATCGTCACTTTTGCGCGCGCTGAAATGCGTCAAAAATACGGTATTTCTAAATATTAATATTACCATTGTGTAGCCCTTGAAAAGAGTTTTCAGAAAATGTATAACACTAATAGTTTAAACTCAAAGACAAAGGAGAGTTACAGACGTGCGAAAGTGACGATCGTTTTCAAATATGATATTTCATTGTCCAGTATTGTATATAACAAAACCTCAATCTAACGATAACCTGGATATAACAATAGTAACAGCCGATTCCTTGGCTATCGTTATATAAAGGTTTAACTGTATAATACCAACCGAATCCTGTGATGATCATGGCGTGACCTCCGAGGGCATTCGTTGCATTACATGGTGCATCAAAAATACCACCTCCGAAGTATTGGAACTCGGGTTGACCACAATTCCTAAGTATTTAATATTTAAACAAAAATGATAGACTTACCGACTCCAATCGGTCCATCGGTGATCAGGGCATCCTTGATTTCGTCGACCGTTGATCCAAGCAAAGAGATATGAGAAGAGACGGTGACTTTCGGGGAGTTGGTGGCTAAAAGGGTTCACTGAAGTTAAGACAATCGACTCAATTTTAAATCACAGATTTTCCACTCGAAATTTCACTCAGAATTGAACTGAGCATTTTGAGTCTATGAAAACAGTTGTTTGATTTAAAAACCTTGGCTTTGCAACTCATATCGCCTGAGGCGGGAGGGTCTGGATAGGGTGTGTCTTTTTCGAGACCAATTCCCGGATGAGTCTTGTAATATCTGAAAAATTTTAATCTTTCTAAATTGTTATTCAGTAAAAATAAAGAAATTCGAATCAAACTAATAAACCATATTTGGAAAGGAACCAAATTTCTGGAAGGAACCATATTGGAACCATATTAGAACCATATTGGAACCATATTGGAACCATATTGGAACCGAATTCCTGGAAGGAACCATGTTGAAACCATATTGGAACCATATTGGAACCATATTGGAACCATATTGGAACCATATTGGAACCAAATTCCTGGAAGGAACCATGTTGAAACCATATTGGAACCATATTGGAACCATATTGAAACCAAATTCCTTTTAAAAACAATTTTTTTAGTATTTAGAATAATCTGTCAATTGTCTAATATTATGTTGAGTACGAAGTCTTGCACTCTTCATTTCATTATCTAAATGAATGAGTCTCAAGCTACCAAATACTAAACGATTTCTTCCGTATACAGTAATTCGGCGATTAGTGGCCAAGTTATAACAAAAAAACACATTACTCTAGTTTTAAATGTAATAGAACAAAATTTGTATTGTTTCCTCATATGCTTGTATTTTTGAATTTAGCATCAAAGATAAAAATTGCCCTCGCACAGTCTTTGCTATAACGGTCACGAATCGCCGAATTACTGTATAATTTTGGCATCAAGCTTCTAAGGTTTTGAGAATAATCCGTTTAAAATTTCATTCAAATATACTGATTCGACGCTGAGATATCAGCAATTTAAGGAAGGATTAAGACTTAGTTTACAAGCTAAAAGTAGTAGGCGCCTTGAATATCCCTTACTCGAAGGCAACCTCGGAGGCACCTCCCTTGCAGATCGTTCCACCATAAACACAAGTCATTTGCTGAAAATTTTGCTTTCAAAACCACTCGACAGCATCACTCACATATTCGGCCAAGTCGATCAACTCTTTGTTGTACTTACGCGCGTGTTGCGCCTCGAGAATACCAGCAGCACTAAAAGATTGTTTTGCATCGATAAATCTTTGAAAATTCTCATGAACACAGACCAGCTTTCAAAATGTTAATAAATTCGGATAGATTCATTGTTTCAGCTTTACCACTGAATTACCCAGAAAGCCAGAAAGCCACCAGAAAGCCACCAGAAAAAGTATCCAAAGTAAAGTTTTTTCACCTGAAGGTCCAGCAACTTCCACAACTGCCTAAAGTATAATTTCTTGAAGACATTCGTGTACGATAGCCCACCTTGATCTTTCACTGGTGTTATCACTCCTTGATCTCTCCAATCAAAGCCTCCAGGAAGAGGTTCATCCTGGGTTGGATCGGGCACAATTGGATCTTCTTTCAGCTCCTCCTCGCTGAAGACGATCTAAATGCAGAATATGTGTTCGGGTTTAAAGCTTTGGAAGTACCGTAATAATTCTAATAGAAGACCATGGTCTTCTAATTTTCAACCCCCCAAAATTGATCGGTCAAAAAAGTAGGTAAGGGTCCCCTACATAAATCAAAAAATTAAAAATTGTTAAAAACTATTTCAAACGATAGCCCTTGGCCCAAAACATGCCAAAAACATGTCTAAAAGTGAAATTATTTTCTTGCCCGGACTCCATGAGAAAATCTTTCAAAAAAATCCATGGGGGGACCACATAAAATTTTTCAAAAAAGTTATTTTTAATTTTTTCAAAAACTACGTCTCCAATTTAACTGCCGAGGCTAAAATATTACTATCTGGACCGAAATCTATCATTCTACTTAAAAAGAAGTTTTAAAAATTCCCCGATTTCAAGGGGTCAGGGGTGGTCTTCTATTAGAGACTGGTCTTCTATTAGAGACTGGTCTTCTATTAGAATTATTACGGTAAGTCCATTTTCTCAACTTTTAGCTTTCAAGGTGGATCTATCATTATTTGACCCAAAAATTTTACCTCGCCGGTAAATCCCATTTGTCTCAGCATTGCAGTGATTTCGTTGATCTCGGTTTGCGAGAGGTTGTCGGTGGTATTTGCCTAAACTTTCCCGATTCCAGAACGGACGCTAGTTGATTACAACAATGCAAATGAAACTTTAGTTTGCTTTAAGCTGAATTCGAACTAAAAATACTTGACCATCAAGCTGATCAAGTTAGAATAGTTCTCAAGAAAACGAAAATAGCCCCACAAAAAACCCACCGCTCGTTTCTCGACTTTCTTCAGCTTTCTCGGGTGATTCTTTCCTTCCCTTCTTTGCCCTTCTCACTGCCGCTTTCTTGAACTCTCTCAACTTTTTAGCTTTCTAAAAACAACTACAACTTTAAATCTTAATTAATCTTTAATACTTTGTGATCGATGGCGTTGCTCTCGGGATGGAACTTTAGATCCTCCTCCTTCAACAGCACTTGCTAAAACAAAATTTACGCATATATTTGATTCATGACATTGGCTTATATATTTCTGACAAGGAAATGCCAACCGGGTGTGGTGGTCAAATGACACGAGCCATATACTATTCGACGCTAAATTTAACGCTGATTCCGAATCTGCTTTCCGTTTTTTAAAATAGGAACCGTATTGGAACCGTATTGGAGCCGTATTGGAACCGTATTGGAACCTAATCAAGAATGAGAACCGTATTGGAACCGTATGGGAACCGAATCAAAATAGGAACCGTATTGGAACCGTATGGGAACCGAATCAAAATAGGAACCGTATTGAAACCGTACTGAATTAAAATAGGAACCATATTGGAAAGATATTGGAAAAATCATCATCAAAAAAAAAATCATGTGATCATGTCACCATCGAACGCCATCTTTTTTTGAATTTACCGTCAAATCGGCAGTTTCTTTTGCATCACCCTAATAGTTAAAAGTAAAGATTTTATGAGAAGAAGCTTGAAAAGATTTGTATTTGAAATGAAGATTAATTACCTCTAAAACAAAAAGAACTGCGGTTTCGAACTCGAGAGCCTGGCATTCTAACCCACTACCACTCAGCCACCACTGCTTTTAAAGTCTCTGGGAAATCTGCTTATAAACTCCGAGGATGATTATTAAAACTCCATACAAAACATTGAGCGCTTTTAACTTTTGACAGAGTGCTATTTAGCAATAACGAAAAAGCAAATTAGGAATCAGCGTAAAATTCTGCATCGACTAGTATATGGGTTCTGTCATTTGGCCAACACACCCGGTTGGCATTTCCTTGTGAGTAATATAAAAATAACTTTTGTCATTCTAACAAACCTCCGAGAACTCTTCAGGGCTCATGTGCATGAATTCGTTCATCTTCACTTTGAATTTCTTCCCCTTCGCCTTTTCTTGCAAGGCTTTCAGTCTCTTGTTGTTTTTCTTGAAGTTGGCGGCTAATTTCTTCATGTTCTTTTTCTTGAATCGTTTGTTGAATCTAAACATATGCTAAAAAAAGAAGCCTTAATAACTGCACTTTTTTGTGGAATTTCTTGAAGTCTTCCCGTGTCGTCTCCAAGATCGGTTTGAATGTCGGTTGATAGCTTGTCGACCTCGACAATCTAAACATATGAAGTTTCTTCCGAATACCGCTTAAGCAATTTAAAGGAGCCTAAAGCCTATAAAGCCAAAAGGATTTTGTGATCGCCTAGATGATCTATAATACGATCTAAACTCTTAAGGAACCCTAGTAATTCAATGTCCATTGTTCAATCTTTCCCACCTCCTCGCCTGCCGCATCATCCGCATAACTGACCACAGCAAGGGTGGCCAAGAAGACCAAGATGAGGATGCTCTTCATCCCTAAATAAAGATTTAGAAAAAAAAATAAATTTATTAGACAATATTCAAAAAGTTATTGTTCTCTTTCAGCAAGGTGTTTTCAATTTCCAACTTTTGTTTGATCAAAAAACCGATAGCTGAAAAAGAGCAAAATCTTATCGCAAAAGAAAGATCGCCGATCTTATCTCTTCTCCAATTTTCCGCTTTTATATCAATCCCTTTTGGGCGTTCCAGCCACAAAACCGGTAATCGGTCAACCGTTCGGTGTGTTATCATTCTTCAAATTTTCCCTTCCTCTTTTTCACGAAAGTCTAAAAAACACGTATCGCTAGATTGAAAGAGATAACTTTGTTCCTTTAATAACAATCCAAAAATCTCATCATTCAGTGATCAGTAAATCTCACCATTCACACAATAACTTTCATTAGTTTCATCTTCAGTTTGCGAATTTTGATAATTAGATCCTTTAGGTATTTTGGCGAAGTATTCTTGTTTGACGATTGACTTGTGTTACTTTTCTTTCCCTGAGATGGAACCCTGAAAATTTGTTCAAATGTTAATTAGTCCAATAGAAAGTTATTATTAAAACTTTTAATTAACACAAGTCAATCATCAAACAAGAATATTCGAGGAAATTCAATAACATTTTGATCATTGCTTTCATAAAAGGGTAAATTGTGAACAGTCACACGTGCCAACTCGTACAAATAACTCAAAAGAAAATTTAAAGCCCAATACATTAATTAAAATTTTGAAAGAATCGAGAGAGACACAGAGAGATTTATTTTGTTAAAATGATTTTCAATGTTCATCTGTTCGATTATCTCGGGCATTGACTGTTGCTTGTATCGGTGATTGTTGTCGACTCTAAAAGTATCAGTTAGGCAAGTTGTTCATTAGTGTTCTAACTTGCCGGGTTGATACCAATGAAGACTCAAATCATACGGAAAATCTGAGTAAATAGATTTCTTATAAATCAATAATTTCTAGCATAAATGCCTGAAATGATTTCAATAAAAAGAAATATATTAGCTTGGCAAATATGAAAGGTTATTTGTTTGATCATTTTAACATAACAGAAAAATTTATTTAAACACTTTCAACATCAAATGTATTCACCAGAAGCATTAATAACTTCTTTCCAACGTTGCCCCAAATCACGAATACCGTCCTCGTAAAATTGAAGATTTTTAGAGGCAAAATAGTTGGCAACCCAATTTTCGATGTCCTGCTTTTGTTTGAACTGCTGTCCAGAAACTGCTTGTTTTATTGACCGAAAGAGATGGTAATCCGATGGGGCTAGATCAGGGCTGTATGGTGGGTGTGGGAAGAAGTTTCCAGCTCAACTTTTCGATTTGTTCGTGGACGATCTTTGAAGTGTGAGGGCCTAGCATTGTCGTGAAGAAATCTGACCTTCGATGGATTGATCTTCTTTTTCCTCAATGCTGGATCGACTCCCGACCCATTTGTTCTGCATAAAGTCTTCCCGTCAACAGTGTCTCCTTTATCTAATATTTCAAAATGAGCCAATTTTGAAGCCAAAAGTAAGAGCAGCTTCTCCAAAACAGTACAAATGTTCTGATGGCATTCCGTAGCTTTCTTGTTTAACTTGAATTCAAAGAAAATGGTGGCCCTGATTTTAAATTTTTGGTTATCCATCTTTGCCGAGCTGGAACAATACCAAATATTGTTCAAAACCAAAAGGTTTTTGCAAAAAAAACATGAGCACATTTTGACATATTATTGAGAAAAATTCTAGACAGCGAATGTCCTTCGTAACGACAGGACAATATTTTTTGCAAAAAAATAACCTTTCATATTTGCCATGCTAATAGTAAATGCTTGTAAAGAAATATTCTTTGCGTGCTTGGTACTCTTCACTCAAGACACGTTATTTCTTGTTTCGAGATGTCTGATCTCACTTGGACTATTGGGTTGCCAGTTATGAATGCGCCGTCTTTTACTATTTTGCAAATTTCTCAAGATACCGAAATCAAGAAAAAGATATATATGAGTATTATTCGAAAGCTGAAGATCTCCTCTACATTTTGATATAAAAATTCTTGAATTTGTTCAGCTTTTGGGCAAATTGACTGCACAGAAGAAGATGTGGCCAAAAATGGAAGGGTGCCTTTGAGAGTTTTGGCTCCGCTCAAATTGAGTTAACCGTTTGATGTTTGGCCAATAGATATATCAATACAACTTTTTAAAAAATATAACAATTTCAGAGCATCTTTACTTTCATTTCTTTTCTGGGCGGTTATTTTACACCATAAAACAGGCAAGCAGGGATTTTGATGGGTCCAAGTCGATTTGACCATTTTTTACCATTATTTTACACCATAAAACTTGAGGAATAGCTAAGCTGGAATGGGTTTTTTCGAAAACGACCTCCCCTTTAGTGCAGTCAATTTCCCAAAAGTTGGATGAATTCAAAACTTTTTTATTCCAAAATGTAGAGGTGTTCAGCTTTCAAATGATATATAACACTCCATCTACTTCTGTTCGATATGTTGAGAAATTTACAAAATAGTAAAAACGCGCATTCATAACTGTAGAGTTAACATAACAACCCAATAAAACACTTTATTCAATAGCCAACTTCATCTGAATTTTTGGGCTCTCACTTGAGCAATTTTCACACAAAATTGAAACAATTGAATTAAGCGACGATAAAAACAGAAACAACTTCGTCCTAACTAGCACACAACTTTCACACAAATGAGAGGAAAGCAGAAAAAAGTAAAGAAAAAGATCAAATGAACAACAGTTGCGTTATATAGGCTTTAACATAAGATATTCAGCTAACAAGCTACAAAACAATAAATGATTTGAGACGCGAAATAGAATGAAGGCCTTTAGATTTCCAGCAATACTTTTCCAATTTTTAGGCTGTCAGAGTTAAGGTAACTTTTTATTGGCTATTCGCCTACAGTGCTCTTTTACTAACAATCTTTTAGTGCATAAAAGTAAAGAAAAACATCAAATGAACAACAGTTGCCTTATATAGGCTTTAACACAAGATATTCAGCACTATAACAAAAAACTATTCACATAAATCGAAGCAAAAATCAAAAGGTTAAATTCGTAAAATTAAAGCAATCAATGAAATAAAAATGAAATGTTTATATGATTTGTTGTTGTTTCATCAGTTATTATTGTTGTTGATGGAATGGGCATTGTGGTCGTTTTCTTTGGTTTCTTCCGTCGTTTTCGGGGCTTTCTTCGTGGTGAGTGGGGGTTTTGTGGTTTGTTTCATTGGTTGTCTAAAAGGAAATTGTACTTTGGATTGCTAAATGGATTGTGTGATGGATTATGTGATGGATTATGTGATGGATTATGTGATGGATTATGTGATGGATTTTATGTGATGGTTATTATCCGATGGATTATTATGTTAATCAAATTCGAATTGATTCTCCATCTGGTAGAAGAGTTTTTTCGATAACACTAAATGCACTAGCACAATTCAAAGGACCGAAAAAGAGTTAAATAAAGCTCTCGGATTATTCTGTCCTCGTTGAAAACTGTAGATGAAATTCGATATTTTTCAATAAGTCACGCCCCTTCAGTTTCCTTTCCCTTCGAGTTGAGAGATTTTCTGGAGGGTAGTCACAGTGGTTGTGGGACCAGTTCTTTAAAGTGACAAGCCACTCAACTTCATTGTCATCTTCTCTCCACCCGCAGGAAAAGCTATTTGATTTCCCACTAAACCGATGGTTGGGAGCCGCCTGTCATGGCGTGGGTTAAGGATAAGATATAGCCTAGTATTGTGTGTTTTATATCGTAAATAATCTTGCTTGACACAGCTCAGATTGGGCGAACCTTTCGAAATTCATACCGTTGTTGTGATGGTGGCTTCGGTCGACGTTACGGCTGCTTTTGTGATGATTGCTGATGCCAGTCGGCCCAGCCAAACATTGTGGTTGTTGTATGGGCTTTTGTCGTACGTCATTGTTTTTAGTTGTTGTAGTTGTTGTCGAATAAGTGGTACACTGGTAAGGCTTGGGGTTGTCGTTTTTATGGCAGTTGTGCTAAATGGGAAGAAATATATTACGGTTGAAAACTGCATATAGTCTTTCTCGACATCTTTCTAACTATTTTTGAAGGTAACAATCATAAAAAATAGCATATTCCTTTCCTTTTGTATATTAAATAAAAAACAGCCAAGTAACTTCAAAAGAGTTTTATTAGAGAATGAGCTAAATGCGCACATTATTGAAGATTCAATGATCTCTACGAATGTCACCAAAAAGCTATTCAGTCTAAGTTAAGCTGTGGATAAGCTACCGTAGTTGAAAAATGGGTTTAGATTTGTTTATCACAAGCCATTTACCTGGGTTCCTTAGTGGTGGTGGTTGTAGTAGTTGTGAGTCGTTGTGGTTGTACTCTCCGTCACATTCCAATTCCCAAATCCTCTTTGCAGCAAGTGTAGGAATCGAAAATATCGTTCGTTGGGCACAGTTCCAGATCATCGTCTGAATTCATTGGACCATCCCCAAAAGTAAGATGTCGTCGAAAAACTAAAGCCAGCATCA